CGCAGGGTGCACAGCATACATCGCACGTGTGAACACATGTCTTTGTATAGCGAATTATTTGTTCATGCGCATTCCGCAAACAGTTGTGCTGACTGTGCTCTTGTGTTGCGAATCTTTCGCCGACCCTTCGCGCGCCCCCAGCAGCCCATCCAGAAACAATGCCCTGGCGAGTTGAGGTGATCAGAACAAAGTGTGGGAGCAAATTGGGGTAGCTATTCGTCCAAAGGGAAAGGGGGATGGATGGGGAAGGAGGAGGCGGGGGATGATCAAAAGGAGGGCATGCAGAGGGGCCGGAGACATCTTGGATGTCCCTCGGAGTCTCTAGGGATGTCTCTCCGGCGCTTCTTGGAGGCCTATTGGGGCGTCTTCTCTCCTGGCATCTTGGAGGATATTGATATCATATGGGGGATCCTCAATTAGCGTCGCTCCTATTGAGTCCCCCAAATCGCCTCCTGGAGCCCTCGTGGGCCGTTCTTGGGGCCGTCTCAAAGCCATTTTGAGCCTCCCACTGCAGCTCTATTGGGCCAACAGCCCCCCGCAGGGGCCCTCGAAAACCCAACATATTTCAAAACTAGTATGTTTGCCAATGAGAATGTGTTGATCAAATATCCCTTTAGTTTCACCGTTCCGCTGACCTCCGGGGACCTTGCCGCGCGATCCCCTTCCCAGGAAAATATGTGTTGATCAAACACGAAGGGGGGGTATTAGCGATGCCTCTTTCCAGCCCCTCCAATCGCCTTTTGGGGCGTTCTTGCGGGGCTCTTGGGCGCTCCTTCGGCTGTCTTGGAACCCTCTTGGGCCCCTCTTGGGTCTCTCTTGGGCCCTCTTGGAGCCATTTTGAGGTCTTGGAAGGACGCCGAAAGCGAACGGGCGAGAAGGCAAAGTTCACTGACTCTCTTTAGGTTTGGGGGGGATTTGGGCGTTTGGGGGGTGCCATGGAGAAGCCCCAGTGCCACTTGGGCCCGTCTTGGGGCGGCCCGGGACCTCTTGGAGGCATCTTGGAGGCCATCTTGGGCCAACTCGGTCCATCTTGCGCCATCTTTGAAACCGTCGCTGAGCATCTGGGGCCGCAAAAAAGGCCCCCCGAAGAGCGAATAATCTTCAACGCCAATGTGTTCAAAGTTTTTGCTGATCAAAGAGGGGGCGAACCGGCCCTGCCCCTCGAAATCACCTCTTGGGCCCTCTCGGGGCCCTCTTGGGGCACTTTTGGGCGCTCTTCGAGCTGTCTCGGGGCCTTCTCGGGCCCCTCTCGGACAATCGTGGGCCATCTTGGAACCGCATTCAGGCTTCCAAAGCCAATCGGAAGTGAGAAAGGCGAGAGCTCGAACAAACACATATGACCTGTGGGAAAGATGTTGGCCCGTGCGGAGACCCCAACGGCCCTTGTACCCGCATTGGGACGATATTCGGGCATCTTGGAACATTTTGGATACCATCGTGAGACATCTTGGGTTATAGTTGAACAGTATTGGATGTCATATTGGGCCCTCTAATGCTCTCTGGGAGCCATCTTGGGCCATCTTGAACGCTCCAGCGCCCCCCCACCCCCCCGTCCAGACCCAAGGGAAAGGGTGGGGGGGCCTCGTAAACCCCTCCCCAAAAGATGGAAGAGGAACTGCTCTAGACCACATGTGCCCAGAGGGCTGGTGGGAGTCTGGCTGGGGCCCCTCCGGCAGAGACATCCGCAAAATTCTGCAGTGGTCGGGCCGGGTTCGCCTGGGACGCCCTCGCAACTGTAGGTTCTGATAAGGTCGGGTCCGAAGGGCAATATATAACAGTAGTCGCATGCGAGTATGGTCATGTACAAGAGTGGTCATTTGCAAAATTTGCCATGCACGGGAAGCCCACGTGGCTGTCCCTTGGGCCCCCTCGCGGTACCCATCGGGGGGCCGTCTTGGGCCTTTCTTAAGGGCCCTCCAGCGCAATCTCGGCGGGCCTCAAGAGGGTTCCAGGACGGGCCAACAGCCAGTCGCGAACAAAGCCTTGTCCGTGACAGGTCGTTGGGCCCTCTCGAGCCTCTCTTGGCGCCCTCTTGGGGCCCCGAGAGGGGCCTGTCGGTGCCCTCCAGGGCCCTCCAGCGTGCCTTCGGGGGGGCCTTCAGAAGGCTCCAACAGGGTCCCCAACGGATGCTACAAAACGCCCCCCTGTTGCAGCATCAGTCGGGCGCCCTCTTGGGGCTCTCTCGGGGCCCTCTGCATGCCCCTCCCCCCGCGCCTTCGGAGCGCCTGAATAGAACTCGACGAGGGCCCCAAGAGTGCCCCAAGAGGGCCCGACGGATGCTACAACGCACCCCTCTGTTGTAGCATCCGTCGGGCGCCCTCTGGGGGCCCATTTGGGCCCTCCGCGGGCTCCCCTAGCGCCTCCTGACGCTCCCAAGAGGGCTCCAAGAGGGCAGCAAGTAGCAAGAGGCCCATCCAACGGACGCTGCAACGCCCCCCCTCCCCCTCGTTGCGGCGTCCGTCGGTGTGTGTGTGTGTGTGTATGTGTGTGTGCCTCTGTGTGTGTGTGTGTCTCTCTCTCTCTCTCTCTGTGCGTGTGCGTGTGCGTGTGTGTGTGTGTGTGTGTGCGTACGTGCGTGCGTGCGTGCGTGCGTGCGTGCGTGCGCGCGTGTGTGTGTGTGTGTGGTGTGTGGTGTTGTGTGTGTGTGTGTGTGTGTGTGTGTTGTGTGTGTGTGTGTGTGTGTGTGTGTGTGTGTGTGTGTGTGCGTGCGTGCGTGTGTGTGTGTGTGTGAGTGTGTGTGTGTGTGTGTGTGTGTGCGTGCGTGCGTGCGTGCGTGCGTGCGTGCGTGCGTGTTTGTGTGTGTATGTGTGTGTGTGCGTGTGTGTGTGCGCGCGCGTGCGCGTGTGCGCGCGCGCGTGTGTGCGCGTGTGTGTGTGTGCGTGTGTGTGTGTGTGTGTGTGAATGTGTGTGTGTGTGTGTGTGGGGGGGGGGCCTTTTAGGGCCGTCGTGGGGGTCATCTTGGGGTCCCCTTGGGGCCCCCCCAGGGCCTCTCGGGCCCTCTTAGAGACCTCTTGGGCACTCTTGAAGCCCTCTAAGGGCCCTCTCGGGGCCTGGGCACGCACGGGCCACCTGTGCGCATTCGGGAGTTGGACGAATTCAACAACCCGCGCCCAGAGAGCTGATGGCATTTTCCTGGCTATTGTAGGGCATTGCGTTGTCATCGCGTTATATTGCAAGGTCTGCGCAGGTTATTGCAGGGGCCCGGTATGCAGGGCATCGCACGGTCTTCGCAGGGGTCTTTGCGGGGTATTGCACGGTGTCTTCGCAAGGGGTTTCGCAGGGCATTGCGCGGTCTTTGCGGGGGGTCCGGGGGAGTGGGTACGGCGAGGGGTTTTATAAGAAGGAAGAGTGAGCTCCCTAGACCACTTCGCGCCCAACAGGGCTGGTGGGGTTCGAACCTCGATGCTCGATCTGCGATGTTCGAGTCAAACCTTGACGTTCTACCAGCGATGTACCATCCTTGCGCCTCATCCTCGATGCTGCATCCCCGATGCTCGATCATGAATCTTCCACCTGCAGTGATCAATCATCGGTGCCCGACGTGGGTTCTTCGGTCCTCGATGCATCACTTCCGAACGACTCCTGGGTGGCCCCCATGCGACGTCAGGGTGATCCCAAGACGTAATGACCTCGATGCGACGTCGCAGCGATCCCAAGAACTCACCATGAACCATGAACCTATGGCCCACATCCATCAAGTTGTTGTCCGGGAGGGCGGCACAGCAGCAACAACACGACAAGCATCAGGGCGCGAAGCTGGCATCATAAGAAACAGCAGCGGCGAACGCAGCAGCTGCAACAGCTACGACGGCATTGGCAGAAGCGGCAGAGGCAGCATATAACAGCGGCGGCAGAGGCAGCAGCGACGCCCCGACGCTCGAGGATCCAGGGACGAGCGTTTTGTTGCTATGATTGCTGATTGTAGCTTGTTTGACGTTTCTGAGAAGTTGGAGGCCCCCTCTTCCTCCGCCTCATCCTACTCCTTCCCCTCCTTATCATCTTGGGTTCCTCCGCTTCCTCGCCATCCTCCTCCCCTCCTCTATCCCCTCGTTCCCCTGTTGCCCCTCCTTCTGGTCCACCTCCTGCTCCACCTCCTCTTCCTCCTCCTCCTCCTGAGCCTCGTCCTCTTTGTATTTCCATATATTGCATCGCCCTCCGTGTCCTCTCCTTCCTCCTACTTGCTCCTCCTCCTCCGCCTCCTCCTCCTGCCCTCCTCGCTGCCCATCCTTCCTAGGTCCCGTTTTCTTGCGCCCCCCGTTGGCCACGTGGCCATCTTGGCGCGACCCGCACTTGCCGCGCGCCCTGCAACCCTTCCAAACAACGAATGTGTTACGGGGGTCGGACCACCGACCCCGCACCGCCAGGCTATGATCGCGCTGCTTTGCTGCCCCCCCCCCCGCAACGTAGGATACTGAGCAGGAGGTCAATCGCGGCCCGCGGTCGCAACGCAATCCCCGGCGACCTTCACGCGGCGCCGTCATCCTGGGATGGCCCAGGGACCCTAGCGCGACACCGGGATGACCCCGCGACGAAAACGCGATCCACTGTGACCCCGCGACGCTTCCAAGACGACCCCATCAGGGCCCCATGATGACCCCGGCGCGATTTCGCGGCACGAGTGCAATGCGATTTCGCGACTCCATGACGGTCCCAAGGTGGCCCCACGAACCCCAACAATACCCCGATAAAGCCCCCATGGCGCCAAAATGGGGCCAGGAACGCCACGGGGCGCCGAGTCGACCCTGACATGGCCCAAGATGACCCCATGACCCAATGCGGGTTTCAATCCAACTCCAAGATGACCCCATAAGACTCATAGACGACACCTATGGCCCCAAAATTACCCAACACGGCTCAATTATGAAACCGACACCATGCGGCTACGTTCGTCGAGGTTTCCTTCCTGGGGAAGGCAAGTCCTCATCGGCTGAAGGCCGTGCTACGCCAAGGCCAATGGGCCGAAAGACAAACAAGTTCTAGGTGCCAGATGCAAATGTTTTTGGTACCACTTAGGGCAATTTAGGTTTGAGAAGCGGAAGAAGTTGCAGGAGAAGGGCGCGCCGGTAGAGAACAACTGCGACCTAGAAGTTCCCCAAGAGCTAGAAGAATATGCTGGCGGCGGTAGATACTCAGCGGTACGTCTCGGTCCAGGAGGGCCTGCATGTCCCTCGGAACGACGTCAGCGTCGTGGAAGCGGAGAAGAAGAAGCGAATGAAGAACACGATCGACCTGGATAGCAACACGCGCAGGACGAAAACGACCAGGAACAGCGTCAGCAGCACGAGAATGCGGAGAACAAGGAGAATGCTCAGAAGGGCGACCAGCCAGACGGTCCAAGCGGCCCGGACCCGCAGCCACGAGGCGGAGACGCAAGACGGCCTCGATGAGCCAGCCTTCAAAGCCCATGAAATCGATGATGTGAATTCCCATTCCCTGTGGAACCCAAGGGTGTGCGGCAACCTCACGGGGCCGGGGGCCGTCTAACCCCGACCCCGCTGCCCGTTTCCCGGGAGCCGCGCCGCGTCGCACAGGTCGTTGGTGATCTCGATGGCGATGGTGTCCTGCCCCGCCTGGATCGTCTGGCCGTGGAGGGCGGCGTACACCCGGCGGACAAAGTCGGCATCTCGCAAAAAAGATTCGCAGCCTTGCCGGGGGAGCCGAAGGGTCCTGTGACGCAAGGTGGGCGTAGGAGCCTGCGCGAAGACCACGAGCAAAATCGGCCCCAACAAGTGCAATGCCGGTGGCGGAGCAGAGGTGGGTGAGCAGCAGCTTTAACACCTTCCCGTCCTCCTTCCCGACTTCCCCCTTGATGGCTAGATCGGTGAGGTGGTCGAGAGAGGAGCCTCTTTGGGCACCCTTGCGGCGCCGGGAGGCCGAGAGCGCGGTCGCGGTGGAGGAAGGCGTGACCAAAGCCTGGCCTCCGCAACGGAATGGTTTCCACTTCAACCGGACGGCCGCCGAATGCGGGTCGGAGGCGAGGACTGAATCCATCTTCTGCTGCCAGAGGTGCACGGCGGCGTCGGTGCAGGTCAAAATCTCCCCTGACGCTAAGAAGAGATTTTGCGAGCAAAAAGGCCAGAAGTGATGAAAACACTCTGGAGACGTCACCTCCAAGATGAAAGCGTCCGGGTCCTCGAATAAGGACATGAGGCCGCAATACGTGTGTTCGGGCATGGAAGACCGCAGTCGGCGAGGGAGGAGTATCTGGCCGAGGATCGTGTAATAGCTCGGGAACAGAACGTCGACACAGAGTCGCGAGATCCCTGTTGAGCTCCCTTGACTCTTCCTCGGGTGACGGCGCACCAAATCTGGGATACCCACAGCCTGCAGGAGACCCATAAACGAAGGCAAGAAGTCGACGGCCATGTCCACATAGGCCATAGAAACCTCCGCGATCCTCAGCGGAGGCGCCTTGAATGCCAGCATCCTGGGAATGGATCGTGGGCCGGAGTGCGCGATCGTAAAAATAGCAAGTCCAGCGCGGCCATGACGAGCGAGGGCCACCACGCCCAGGGTTGAACGAAATCGGAGTCACCATCCGTAACGACGATGGACGCTGCTCTGGGGCCGTGCGGTGCAGCAAGGTAGACAGACATCTGGAGATCGTCCCCACTGTCCCCGCCACTGTCTCGCTGTCCCCTCACCACTGTCCCCACCACCGTCCCCACCGCTGTCCCACTGTCCCCGCCACTGTACCACTGTCCCCACACCACTGTCCCCACCACCACCGTCACCACCACTGTCCCACTGTCCCCACCACTGCCCCCCTGTCCCGAGGAGCGAGAATCGTTTGCCGGCGGCGAGGGGGGGGCTCGAACAGGTAGTGACCTCCCCCCCCCCCGGTTTTCCGCCAGCAGCGGTAGAACACGCTCTTTCGGAGATCGCGTTCACGTCCTCGGGGACCCACATCGAGAGGTGAAAGCACTTGGTCAGCTCCCACAGCTTGTCGTCGCCCTTCTCGGCCATTGTCGCGAGCTCCCTTGTCAGCGTGAGCCCACCCCGTATGGACCATCATTCAGTGGCCAAGAGCTCCTCTGGATCCACGGCCGTGTCGCGCATGAGCTCGACCCCGTCCCGGCCCAGCTCCTTCCATAGCGGAAGGCGCGCGGCCTTGTAGCGACGGCGCTCCGTCATGGCTGTGGGGAGCTCCTCCAAACAGTGGGTGACCGCCGACTGGAAGGCAGCTGCTGTACTGCGTGTGCCTTGTCGTCAGAAGACCAGCTCGCCTTGGCCGGAAGACCGCACAAAAGCGACGCTGTGCGGCCCCTGGCGGTCACGAGACTCAGAGGGATCCAGACCTTCGAGAAGAGCCAGTCCGAGTCGGCGCCACGGATCCCCAGCCTAGGAGTCGTAGGCCAGACGCGTCAAGATGCTCTTGAGGTGAATCCCAATGCTCGGGCACTGGATCGCGACCTGGGCGGCGATGGGCTGCGCGAGGGCGGACGCCTGCACGAAGTCCAGATGCTGCAAAACGTCGCCCTCCACCCATTCCAGCAGGAGCCGGTCAGAAATCGAGAACGTAGCCGAGGCAAGACCAGGAGGGTCGAACGTGGTCACCCTCTGCATCGCTGCCGAGACTGTTGGTGGTGCCGCAGGACCGGCGGCTCCCACCTCGTCAAACTCGATGCCGCCGTCGTCGATGTCAAGGCGCGCGGCGCCCTGAGTCAAGCTGGTGTCGCCGACCTCCGACGCCACGTCACCGTCGTGCGCCGCGCCGTGCGCAGCGCCGTGCGCCGCGCAGAACGCCGATCCCGGGAGCGCCTCTCCCATGACCCCGTGGCTCTGACAGACCTGACAGAGCGGCATCACGAGCAGAAGAGCGGATATCGGAATGGCTGCCTCGGGCCTGGGGCGGAACAGGCGAGGCGCGGGCGCAAAGTCGGCCACGGGGGGCCTGCTTGAGCCCTAAACCCCTGGACCTGACCAGGGGCGCAGTGACTTGAGCCATTTGGTCTTCGACTTCCTGCTTCGGCACGCATCCGCCGCGGGGGGCCGGCAGGTGGCCTCTGATCTTGTCGTGCAGCTGGGTGCGGAGCTGCGCGAGCCTCCTGCGCACCTGCCCCCCCATCGCACCGCGCGGGAGCCAGATCGACGGGAGCAGCACCACGACTCCGGCGGAAGAGGCACGCCTCAAGCAGAGTGGCAACAAGAGGCACGAACACAAATCATGGGAAGTCCGCGCGGGTCTCTTGGGGTCGGCGCCGGAACCCCGTTCGTCCGAGCCGAGAAGACCCCCACCCCCTGGGCCCTGGAAGTCAGCACTCCCTCTGAGGCCTGGCCGACCTGCCTGGGCACAGGCGTGCCTGGTTCCCCGCGCGCGGCGGGGGGTTCACAAGCGCTGCGGGAGCCCATCCCTGTTTGCTTTTCCCTTCCCCCGTCTCCCCTCCTCCCCAGACATGCTCGCGTCGTGAAACAATCACGACGGGAACATTTGGCCGTCTTCGGCCTCCCCGGGGCCCTCGCTGGGTCCCGGGACCATCAACAAAAACAACTCGGGATGGAAAGCCGGCCGTAAAGTCGGGACTTCCAGGGACCCCGCACTGATCAACATCAAGACACCGCATGTCTTGAACTGCTGCCTCCTCTGCTCCGCTCTCCTCTCCCTCCTTTCACCCCCTGCGGCAAACTCACGTCGCAGAGGCGTGGGCGTGGATCTTCTGCACCGCGTGGGTCGTTCAGCCTTGAGCGATCGGCGCTTGCCGACAGCAGATGTCGTTCAGTATTGGCCGAGTTCAGGCACTTGGTAGAGTTCAAACTTCAGCGCCCACGCTGGCGTCGCGTCACCTCCACGTGCCTCGAGCCTGCCGTGCCTTCTCTCTTTATCCCCCTGCCTCCCTGCCCCTGGAGACCTTCCAGAACAAGGGTGCCGAGGGACACCACGTGTTGCCAAAGTTGGCACCTGCAGAGCATTACAGCGAAACTAACAGAACATGCAGCATACCCTCTCTCAATATATATATATATATATATATATATATTGGCATCCAGCTCCTTCAGCCTGGCAATGAGGGGGATGAGCAGAAGCGGGAGCAAGATAATGTGGAGAAGGATGGGCGGGAGGGGAAGGAGAGAGGAGCCCCGCACGGACCCATGGCCTCTTTCATGCTGCGCGCGCTTCTCTGGTGCGGGTATGGAAGCACAATACTCTCAAGCACACCATTGAGCAGAGTGGACGGGAGGGGACGGATGAGAAAGAGCGGGACGAGGTATTCATGTTCGGTGTCGGTTAGGTAGAGAATACAAACTTTGAGGGGCTCCATGGGGTCTCCCAAGCCGACCAGAACCGACGTGCTCCCCCGAAGCGTCGACCACAGGATCCCCAACACAGTGGAAACGCACCAAATGTTGGACAACGCCCGCGCGTTCTTGGTTACCTACGGTGCCGCAAGTGAGCCCCCCCAAGGCGGTTTTGGTCCCATTTTGGCCTACTGGGGGGGACTGTAATCCGTACCCCCCCCTCTTGTGATCGATCTCACCCAAGATGGCCCAAAGATGGCCCCCATGGCTCCCAAGGGTGCCCCAAGAGGGCCCCAACAGGTGGCCAGGAAGCCCCAAGAGGCCCCCAGGAAACCCCCAGGATGCCCCCAAGAGGCTCCCAAGGGACCTCCAAGAGACCTCCAAGAGGCCGCAAGAGGCCCCCGAGAGGCACCCAAGACGCTCCAAGAGGCCTCGGCGACAATGCCAAAACCGCTGATTTTACGAAGGTTTTGGCCACATCTTGGCCTCCTGGGGGGGGCGCTGCTTCTGATGACTCCAAGAGCGCCTGGGAGAACCCAAGATGATCTCCAAGATGGCTCAAGATGTCCCAAGAGGCCTCAAGATGGCGCCCACGATGTTCTAAGAGGCCCCGAAACCGCTCCGAGTGGCCAAAAAGCTCCCCCAGGAAGCCCCGAAAAGGCCAACATCCTTCCAAAACCTTAGGGGCATCAATGTTTTTGGCGTTCTCGCCGAAGCCTCAAGATGGCTCCAAGATGGCCCAAGAAGGCTCCAAGAGCGTTCCCAAGGCTCCCAAGAGCGCTTCAAGAGGGCCCCAAGAGGCGTCATGGAGGTCCCAGGAGGCCCCAACAGGCGCCCAAGAGGCCTCCAAAAGGCTCCCAAGAGACCCCCAAGAGGCCCCACGAAGCTCGAGGCACCCAAGACGCTCTAAGAGGCGTCTGGGACCGCCAAGAAGCCCCCAAGACGCTCCAAAAAACCTCCACTGGGGGACCCTTCCTCTGTGTGCTGCCCGCTTCCCTGATCGAGGCAATTCCTCTGGGCATCGTTTCTGGATGGGCTGGTGGGGATTCGCGAAACGCCAAATTATCCCGGCAAAGCAACCTAACATCGATATGTAGAAGCATAGCTGGAGGGGTGTATGTCCAAACGAGACACTGCTATCAACGCACGGAACTTGAATGGATGTATGTCCAAGCGAGACACTGCTATCATCGCACGGAGCTCGAATGGGTGTATGTCCAAACGAGACACTGCTATCAACGCACAAAGCTTGAATGGATGTACCTCCAAATGAAACACTGCTATCAACGCACGGAGCTCGAATGGATGCATGTCCAAACGAGACACTCGCATCAACGCACGGATGCTTGAATGGGTGCACGTCCTCACGAGACACTGCTATCAACACACGGAACTTGAATAGATGTATGGTCAAACAAGACACTGCTATCAACGCACACACTGCCATCAACGCACAGAGCTTGACACTACGCAGTTGTATCACAGACTCGCAGGACAGTAGGACTCGCAGGACTACATTGTGTACAAAGTATTATGTGCAGGGACTCGTAAGACCTGTGTCTCTACTGGTGTGCTGGGCGAGTCCATGCAAAAGCATGCAAAAGCATGCACTTTGGCAGACGTCTTGGAAGTCTTCAAAAGCGGCGCGCTGAGCTGCGGTGGCAGGCTGCAAAAGCGGCAGCCTGCAAAAGCCTGCACTTTGGCAAACGTCTTGGAAGCCTGCAAAAGCGGCAGGCTGAGCTGTGGTTGCAGGCTGCAAAAGCGGCAGCCTGCAAAAGCATGCACTTTGGCAGACGTCTTGGAAGTCTGCAAAAGCGGCACGCTGAGCTGTGGTGGCAGGCTGCAAAAGCGGCAGCCTGCAAAAGCCTGCACTTTGGCAGACGTCTTGGAACTGAGGAGCGGCGTGCGAAGCGGAGAGCCTGCGAAACCTGGAGGCTGAAAACTCGCAGGCTGAGACTCGCAGAAACCCGCAGGCTGAAAAGAGTCCTACTACTCGCAGAAAAGCACCGCAGAAAGAGTCTAGCGAAAAGCACCGCAGGCTGAGAAGCACCGCGGGCACACGGGCTTGGAAACCTCACCTCTCCCGCTCGTCTTGCAGGAAGTCGCGCCAATCCGGCGGCTGCCAAGAGTCGATGATGCGCCGAGACCCACCGCCCGTGCTGCCGCCGATGTCCAGGTAATCCCCTCCCGCAGTACGGAGGCGGCCGTGTCCTAGCGCCACAATCGCCTGGTTCCGGTTGACTCGCAACTCGCCGCTGTCCCACTTCCGAAGCACGTCCAACTGCTTGCGCGTGAGAGTGGGAACCTCCTGGCCCTGGTCGGCAGGCTGAGTAGCACCGCCACGTAAGAGCTCTTGCCGATAGCGGGCGAGCCGCTCACCCTCGTTGTAGCGCGAGATCGCTTCAGCCTTGTCGTGGTGGAGGCGGCGGCGCTCTTCCTTCATGACTTCGTCGTGCGCAGGTGGCTCACTGGGTTCGGCGTGCAGGGCTTGGGTGAGCATGTCAACGTCGAAGCGGCCGGAGAAAGCCAGCACCTCCCAGATCTGTTTTGTGCCGCACACACGTTGCAGATGCCGGCACCACCGCTTACGCTTCTGCTCTCTGAGGAACTTAGCGAGACTCCCTTGGCCTGCCCCTTGGGGCTGGCCACCTTGTGGTGGAGTCTTGCCTTTCGCCTTCCCCTCCTCGCCTTTTCCCGCAGACTGAGAAGCTCCGCGAAAACCTCGTGGTGGAGTCTTGCCTTTCGCTTTCCCCTTTTCGCCTTTTCCCGCAGGCTGAGAAGTTCCGCTAGAACCTTGTGGTGGAGTCTTGCCTTTCGCTTTCCCCTTCTCGCCATCTCGTTCCTGTAGCGCCAGCTGGTGTTCGGACTGCTCGTACTCTGTGCGAACACGTCTTACGAGTTCCCCGCGCTCAGCGTCGGCGAGGACGCGCCGCAAGTCGGCGATGTTTTTGCTCCGCAGAAACTCATGGCGAACCTTAAGGACAGACACAATGGCTCGGACAGTCTCCGCCTGTGACGCGAAGGCGGTGTCACAGTCCGAGCCAGGCTGAGAAGCACCAGCTGGATCTTTGTCCGCAGGCTGCGTGGACGTCCTCTTCTTGAACAGCAAGAGGCTGAGGTGGTGGAGGAGTTTCGGGTCGTAGGCCGCGTCATACCTCTGGTCCCAATACTCCCTCAACTCCTTGTGCAGCTCATGCGCGCGCCGACTAACTTCATCCTCGGGCTCGTCGCAGGCTGCGGCGTCGGCCGGTGACGCCGGTGAAAGCGGTGCATGCACAGGAGCGGGGCTCGGGGGCCGGGACCAGTGCACCGAGGAGCCCTCCACCTCGGTCTCTGAGCCGGCGTCGGCGTCAGGCAATCCTCCGAATGCAATCTTCCGCCTCTTTGTCTCCCCAGGCTGAGAAGCATCAGGGGCGGTGAGCACGACCGCAACAGCATCGTGTGCGTCGTTTCGCATGCCACGGTCCATGTAGGAGGCGCCAACAGCGACGGGCTGGAAACGCGCGACTGCTCCGCAGACTGCCACGTTGTCGCCTTTGCGGTCCGCCGGGGGGGCGAAGACTTCCCATAACGCCTCGTCGTCAGTGTGGCGTTGGAAAGCTTCACGCGCCTCCTGCGCGGTCAAGTTGTTGTCGCCGACTGCGAGGCGCACGACCGGCGTGCCCGGCTCCCCAGTGCTGAGAAGCACGGCGATCCCGTCCAAGTGGAGTCGGAGAAACCGAACTGCTTTCTGTCGCGTGTGAATGCTGGGAGGGTTGCTTCCGCAAACGATGTGCATGTTTCCGACGACCGCGTGAACTTTGTCATGGCCTCCTGTCTGCACATTGAACCGTGAGATCACTGCGTCCACTTGTCGCGCGATGGGGACGTGGTAGATGTATGTGTCCTCGCGCAGGGACACGTCAGCAGGCTGAGGAGCACCGCCGAAGCCCCATAGGCTCAAGTAGTTGGCGACCTCGCAGAAGCCGATGCTGTCGCCGAACGGCTTGGTCAGGATGTCTTTCTCGTTGATGGATGCTCGACTCAGGCCTTGACGAAACGCACCGACCTCGCACCCAAAGAAAAGGTCAGCATCGACTTCCTCGACTATCTTGGCGCAAATCCGCCCGAAGTTGGAGCAGTGAGTCTTGGAGTTCTTCCCCATCATCATGCTCTGCTCGAACCCGAAGTTAAAAGAGGCGACCGTAAAAGACGCAGGTTGAGGATCACAGCGAGCAGGCGCGGCCGCAGGCGTGTGTCGGTCTTCCTCCGCAGGCTGAGAAGCACCGCGAGAAGCCGAGGCTGCAGGCCGGTAAGGATAGGGCCAAGGGAGGGCCATCATGGAAGGGCACGTCCTGAACCAAAGACGGCTGTCACGACAATGACGATGACGATGACGACGGCGATGCTGATGCTGATGCTGATGATGATGATGGCGATGATGATGATTTTGATGATGATGATGATTATGATGATGCTGTTGCTGCTGGTGATGATGGTGGTGGTGATGGTGGTTGAGGTGATGGTGGTGGTTGTGATGATGATGATGATGAGAATGATACTGATGATGATGATGATGATGACGATGATGATGATGATGACGGTGATGATGGCGGTGGTGGTGATGATGATAATGATGATGCTGATGATGATGATGATAATGATGATGATGAGGAGGAGGAGGAGGAGGAGGAGGAGGAGGGGGAGGAGGAGCAGGAGGAGGAGGAGTAGGAGGATGATGATTATG